TGTATAAGTGACGTGGCAAAACAAGGGAGAGGGTGCTGAAGGGAGAGTGTTGGAGCGAGTGCTCCTAGCACTCCTCTTCAAGATAATTCAAAAAAGGTCTTTTGTTTGATTAAAAAATAGGTTTCAAAGCGCATAGTTTTCCTTTGGTGACTAATGCTAATTCTCAATTTTTGATAGGTTACTTTTGTTTATTTAAGAAATAATTTATGTTAGATTATTTAATATTAATTATGAACTAATGTAAGTAGTAAAAGATTAATGTACTCTAAATAAAAATAACTTTTTTAATAAAATAGGAATAAATATGATAATTAAGATTTAAAAATATATTTATTTTATATTTTTTATTCAAAATTACTATAATTTAATTTTATTAAATTTATATTAAAAATATGATTAATTATTAAAAAAAAAAAAATGAACCCATAACCTATTAGGATTGGCTTAGAGTGATCACTAGTTGAGTCGCAACTCTTATATCACTCAATTCATAAAACCCGTGACACGAGAAACCCAACCCCAACCCCCACCCAAACCGCCCGTTTGCCAGCTTCCCCCCATCTTCCTTTTCATCCTCTTCCTCATCCTCATAAATCATCATCTGGACCTCTCCTTCATCATCGACTTAAGGCTTACAACACCTAGAAAGCCAATTCCAAATTGCAAAAAACAAAACCCAGATTCCACAAAACCCATCGAATTTCCAACACCCTTCAAATTAATTCAACAAAATCTCAAATCATCACTCAATCGAATCCTTTTCTCAACTGATCTAGATCCAATTCTCAACCTTACTCTTGCATCCGATTTAGAGTCTCACCTTGTGATTCTTTGACAGTAATCGGGTTCTCATTGAAGTCATGGGTAACCATCTTATTGAGGGAAGTAGCCATCCATGGAAGCCATTGAGTCCAGTAAAAGAAACCAGATCTGTAAAACCTAAATAGCTGAACCCAAATCTGGGTTCTGGATTTTGTGGAAAGGGAAGGAGGAAGAGGGACCGAGGGAAAGTGAAGGAGAAAAGGGAGGGATCGAGGGAGAGTGAAGGAGAAAGGGGAGAGATCGAAGGGAGGAGATGGGACTGAAGGAGACAGAGGGCCTGTTTGGTTTAGCTCGCGAGACCTTTTGCCGAGTACTGTTTACGAGGGAAAAATTTAAATTTTTATTTAAGGGAAAATTTAAAATTTACTTTTAAAAGATAGTAAAAAATAGATAAAAATAGAATTTATAAAAAGTTTGGATTTAAAGTTTTTAAGTTTTTACTGTTTGAAATTTTTTTAAAGTTAAAAAAAATTAAAAATATAAATTTTTAAAAAAAATTTTATATTTATAAAATATGAATAGTGTCAAAAAATTAAAATACTTAAAAGCTAAATCAAATATTCCTAGAGTTGGGGAAGAGGAAGGGAAGAACCCTTCCTGTTCATGGAAGAACCAAATCTTCTAGTTTTTCAATTTCTTTTGTTTGAAACTTTGAACTTGTTTAAATGGTTGAGTAAGAGTAATGAAAATTAAATATTATTTAATTATTTTTTTATTAAAAGTTCTATATTTTTTAATTGGAGTGGAGTTCACCTAAGGAGTAAAATTGATAAAATTGGACTCAATTTGAAAATCTAATCCAGCCCACCCGTTATGGGTAGGGTTATGGTTCTTATATGTTAATTTAAAATCTGAAATAATCTAGATTGAAATTATCTGAACCTAAATGGGTTGGGTCACAAGTGAATCGAGTTATCCAAAATTACCTAAACCTTTATTTATTTATTTTTATTGGATTACTTAAAAATTAATATTAAATTTCTAATTTCCTAATTCTAAAAGTAAAAGCAAATAAAATACTCAAACCCTAACATCTCATCAATTTCACTTTCTCTCAACTTTTCCTCTTCCCCATTCTTGCTCTCCTTTTCTTCATCTCAAGCTCTCTAATCGTTTTCTTTGGTGGCACTTGAGTCAAAAGTTAGATTAGGTGGCACATAATGAGTTATGTTATATAACATCGTATAAAAGATCGTATTTTAAAAAAAATAAAAAGCAAGAATGCCTACTGAAAATCAAAACCTAGTGGTTGAAATACCCTCATCATCATTAAAAGTACAAAGACAAAAACATCAAGAACATCAAGGTCTGTTCTTAGTTGATAATTTATTCTTAATTAATAATTTGGTCATAATAATAAAAATCAATTTCGATCTAATTTCTTCTTGTATTTAATTAGACATATTTTTTATTTATGTTTTAAACTTTAATATTAAATAGGGTTATATTTTTTGTATAATGCCCTCTTAAATATTGAATAGAACTATATTTTTTGTATAATACTCTTATAAATATTGAATAAGCACTAGATATAAATATATATATATTGGATTTGTCTTTTGAACTCTAAACCTTCGTGTCTTTCCTTTTAATGAATGTTAATACCTTTATAAAATTATTAATTCTAAATATTATATAGGCATTATATATTTGACATATATTTTAATTCCACCTATATAATCACTAATATTTTCCTTTTCTTTTCTTGAGATCGAAAAAAAATTGAATTATGAAATGAAAATTAACGTTTAATAAAGTTTTCTAACTAAATGGTTAATTAGTAATAAAATTTCTAACTAAATAGTTAATTAGTATTAAATTTTGTTAAAGAAAAATAGAGAAAAATATAGAAAAATTTTAATTTTAATTTTAAGTTATTAAAAGTTGGGTCCACCTCATCTAGTCCAAAACCAGTGTGGATGGGTCAACCTTCTTAACTCGACACTCGAAATGACCAAATTTGACCAACCTAAAATTTGAAATGACTCAATCTGAATTCACGCAATCCCACCTATTTGCCAGGTTTACTGAGAAGTGTTTTGGTGCTTTAAAGTGACTTGGCATTATTTATTGTCTATGTGAGTTGCTGGAAGCTGACTTGGCAACATGTCATTGTCATATCATAAAAAATATTATTTTAAATGAGATAACAAAATCATGTCATATTTATTTATTTCATGAAGGGGTAAAATAAATATATTTTTTAAAATTAAAAAATTAAAAAAATACATAAAATAATTAAAAAATAAAAATTATATAAAATATTAAAATAGAAAAATTAAAATTAACATTTAATTTATAAAATATAGTTACCACTATTATAACTTGATTTTTTTTCTTGCTTATTTTGATATTTTGTTAAAAATTTCAATTTTTCTAAAATTTTAATTGCTCACAAGTTTTTAAGTTTTAAATGGAAGTTCAGAAATTTTTGAACTTTAAAATGATGTAGGAAATTAATTTAGAAAATTTATCAAAGAAAAACCGAGATTCAATTGAATTAATATCATTTTGTACTCGATTGAAAACATTTAAAATACAGTGTCATTTTATAGGAACTGAAATGCGACGGAAGCTAAATATGATGACTAAAGTAACATGCGGGAGAAACATACGAACTAACGCGCAAGACCAACTCAAACGGCGTCGTTCCATTCAAAAGGGTAAAAATAAGATTAAATGCCCAATTTAGTCCTTCAACTTTTCTTTTTGAACTAAATCTATACTCTAACTTTAAAAAGTGCTAAAAATATCCTTAAACTTCAATTTTTTGTACCAATTTAATCCTTCCATCAATTAAGTGTTGATGCGACAAACTTCTCTGTTAAAAATATCATTTTTTAACTTTCAATATTACAAAGAAGTGCCACGTCAATTAAAATACTGATTAAAATGTTGATGTGGTAATAAACCCACAATTAATTATAAAAATGAGATTTATTATATTAATTAAATGGTAAAATCAATTAATTAATAAATTAAGGTAAAAAAAAGAAGGAGAATGATCGTCTTCACCCCCTTTCTCTCTCTCTCTCTTTGTTTCCTTTCTTTTCCCCTACCTCTACAAACCCTAGAATCAAACT